GTGGCGGGCGCGGCGGTGGAAATGCTGGCCAAGCGCCTGACCGTGTCTGCGCCAGGGAAGGCGATTCTCCACGGGGAGCACGCTGTGGTGCACGGCAAGGTAAAGGGCTCGGAGACGCTTCGCGGAAGAGCCGTCATGAGCCGTTCTGCTCCTTGTTCTACCCCCTCATGCCTGTTTTTTGTGCGCAGGCAGCTCTGGCTGTGGCCTTGAACCTGAGAACGTTTCTTCAAATTAGACCCTGTAACAATGGAAAGGTTGCAATACACTTGCCCAATATTGGAACTAGTTTAAACTGCAAGGTAAAGGGCTCGGAGACGCTTCGCGGAAGAGCCGTCATGAGCCGTTCTGCTCCTTGTTCTACCCCCTCATGCCTGTTTTTTGTGCGCAGGCAGCTCTGGCTGTGGCCTTGAACCTGAGAACGTTTCTTCAAATTAGACCCTGTAACAATGGAAAGGTTGCAATACACTTGCCCAATATTGGAACTAGTTTAAACTGGGAAATGGGCCAGCTCCAGACACTGCTAACAGCATTTTCAGGCAAGTGCTGTTAAAACAATGGGAATGCATGTCAGTCTATTTTAAAATCGTGAAACCCTGGGCTTCATCCTTCCCCCTCACTGTGTACCTCACCTGAAACATCTATTGTACTGTGCATGTGCTTGGCAATTGATTTCGTGTATTGGTGGATGGTGGTGGCCAGCTGGTGGCTAGAATCTACAGGGGATTTAACTAATTAGGCTTTCTTCTCCCTCCTCAAATCAGGCAGCTGATTTAATATATACATCTGCACTACCAGAGTACTTGCACTGTTTCTCATGGTACACAGGCAACAGAAGTGCTTAGTGAGCCACAAGCAATGGGATCAGTAGGAGTTTGTTTTATCTTAACTACTATGATCCTAGCATGCATCATTTAGAAGGGGGCAGAATACAGTCTCTCTAGCGTTGGTGCACAGGAGCTACATCTGCAAACACCAGGGGTCCCTCTAGTGTCCTGTCTTCTGAAGAGTCCAATAGTAGTTAGTCCCTTGTAGAAATCTGCAACCTTCTGTTTCCACACGCACCTATACTGTAAAACTTGTATGTTTTGTTCCACACCCAGCAAAAATTAATGTGCTTGGCTTTATATGAGTCAGAACCCTTTCCTGATGTTTCCTTTATGTTGTTGCTGTGGGTATCATGAAGAAGCAGTTCTTTAGCATAGCTGGTGATTTCTTCTTGTCCTGCACAGTGATCAGTTTGTGTGGTGAAGCATGGAGGCTGTCTTTATTCTATTACTGGAGATGCTTTTCTTGAGAATATCTTGTTCTAATATGAAACAGGTTTTAAAGCTTAACTTGTAAGTGTATAAATTCACTGCTCATTGTTTTCTTAGCTGGCTTGGATCAATCTAAATCTCCCAGCCCAGAACAAATGGACAAACTGAGAGAGATTGGGAGTCCAATAGTGATTCCTGCAGCCACTGAGAGTCTTGCTGCCCTGGCATTTCTCTATCTGTACCTGTCTATTTCAGCTAAATATGGGTAAGATTATGGTCCTTCTCAAATGTATGTGTTATCCTAGGTGTCCAGTGGTTCCTGTTAAACTTGTGTTCTGTCATTTCACAAGAAATTAGACTTATAAAGCTAAAATAAGAAACGAAAAGGGGGAACTTTCCGTTGTATATTCTTAGGCTCTTATCTTGGTAGTAACTGTAAGGTGAAATTAGCTAAATTGTGTTGAGTAGGTGGGAACTCTGCAAGGATCTGTCCAAAACTTGATTAATAACTGAGAAATAGTGACGAGCTTCTAAGTGTGGTTAACACACCAAGTTACAATGCTAAGAACTAATAAAAGAGCCCTAGAAAACTGCTCAGCTGTAAGTATTAGTCTCAGCTGTAGCAATAAAAACATAATCCTAAGTGCAGTTTTGGCAGTGAAATAATCAAATATGAAGCCCCATGTAGCTAGAAACCTATATAATGCTTTAATATCACAGCCACTCTGAATATCTTGGTGACAGTAGGAGCTGAACTGTGATCAGCCTTTTCTCAAACCACATATCTTTACCACTTAAGTGAATTTCCATTAGCTGTTAGCAATACTGAAGCAATACTGAGCCTATTACAAGCAAGTGAACAATTCCAGTTCTGTCCAAGAGGTTGCTAGTACAGGTGCTGTAGCTGGCTTATTACAAGACTAAAACATAAATCTACTGCTACTGATGTGGGATCCTCAAATGTTTTATTTAAAAACGTTTTTACAGAAATCTTAAGGGTACGTTTAAGGTGCTATTTATGGTGTTCAATTACAAAATCACCTCCAGTGTTGGGCTTTAAAACAAAATAAAAAACAATGGAAATGGAAATTCCAGTTTAGCTAGGATTTCTTCTAGCACAGTGGTCCCCAACCTTTTGGGGCGCCCGGGGGCGGGGCCTTTCACGCTGACGGGCGCCTGGGGGCACTGCGTTGGAGACCACTGTTCTAGCACAATGGATTTGCGAAGCTGCTCAGCTGTGCTAGCTGAAAGTTCATAAGGTTTGTGTCTGTCATATATTTGTGCTTACACGGACACCACAATTGGCTCGTGGTGTGATCACTGTAATTTTAGTTTGCATCTGTTGCCTTTGAGCTCCAAAATTAAATGATTTCAATATTATTGGTGTTTTATGCAATGTATTTGAATGTGTTTCAGGCAGATACCAAGTGTGGAGATAGTAGTGTGGTCTGAGCTGCCCGTCGGAGCTGGACTAGGCTCAAGTGCTGCCTATTCTGTTTGCTTGGCAGCTGCCCTTTTGACTGCATGTGGAGCCATTGGTTGCCCATTGAAGGAAGAGAAGTACATAGCCAGGTATGCATCTGGGGAGCCTGTGTGTCTTGGGCAGGTGAATGAGGGTAACAGAATGTTCGCTAAATCTCCAGCAAGAAGCGTATGGATCCTGTGTGATTCTTAACCACATATTTCTCTCCTTCTCGGCTGTTGGCCTGAAGCTGGTGACCTGTCAGGATACAAAATATGGTTCCAAGACATTCTCTGTTTAAAAAACATTCAGCTTTAGTATCTGAAATAGTGATTTACATGATTATGCAGGTACACTGAGCCAAGCAATGAACTCTCTGTCCCCTATTACATGATCAAGGTTCTATCTGGTGACAAAACAGATTGTGCTAGCAAAAATGCATTTTCCAGACTAGACTGGAAGTGTTGTAAATATCGGCATCTTTTAATTGTAACTTGTAGTTTTGGATGGACTAATCTTCAGTCACAATTTGAATGCAAAAAATAAGTGACACTTTTAAGGTGTTTTTCTTTCACAGGATCTTCACATGCTTTTTTTTTTCCCTTGAAAAGTTATGAAATGTCAACTCATATAAACGTCTCGCGTTCCAATATATGGTCCTATATTTATGGAAGTCCCTTATGGCCCTATTCACCATCCTCCACCCTCTCAAAACACACTTCTGCTGTGAGGTCTGTTCACTTGGATCTTCCACTGAGCAGGTGAAGAACAAGATCATGTAGCTGTTACCCTCAGCAACTGCATGATGTCCCATCTGTAGCTTTTGCTTTACCAACCCATTGGTTTTCCTGCAGGGTCCCACCATCTCTCCTTGTGTTGTCTTAGGCCTCAGTCCTGTTATTGTCCGCACAAGCCTCCACTGATGCCCCTACATAGCACAGGAGTGTGCCTGTGCCCAAGCCCACCCTCAGAGTTTGAGACAGAAAGACAAGTTGATGATTATTTCTCCAGGGAGTTCAGATTCGATGTGATGCTGGAGGAGTAGTAATAAGCATCTACATTGCACCACAAATTGAAATAAGAGATGCAATTTAAGCGACACAAATTGCTTATATTATTTTGATGCTATTTCGAAATAGCTTATTTCAACATTTGGCACTGTCTACACAGTGCCAAATATCAAAATAAAGGGCTATTCCAAAACACCCCTTGCTCCTCATGGAATGAGGTTTATAGGGATATTGTAATAGCCGGGGCTTGACAAATAATGCAATCTACTCTCCCACGGCGAGTAGATTGCAACCCGGAAGAGCTGGGTTTGGGCAATCTGCACCGGTGCAGATCGCTGGACGGTGCGACTGGCAAGCGGGGCTCACCATTGTTCAGCGAGCCCTGGTAATAGCAAGCCCAAAATAACGGGCTTGCTGTGAAGATGCGGGATAGCTATTTCAGGGTACTCCTGTATCCCAAAATAGCACTGCCGTGTAGACATAGCCTTTGAAAATCATCCTACCTGAGGAATAGGAGGAGTTCCCTAGCATCTAGAGCTTGGAAGATGAGAAGTGGTAAGCACTATTTCTTGTTCTTCCCTGTCTGCCTACTGCATTCACTTGTAAATTTAAGATGAGATAACAATCAGAAACTTTGATTGGTAGAGACCATCTCAGAATTATAGAATTGTATAGTACTAGCCTAACACCCTATTGTCTTCCACTTATTTGTACATGACATGAGACACAGATGGAAAGGAAAATTGTAGTTGTGCATGGGAAAGGAAAATTGTAGTTGTGCATGGGAAAGGAAAATTGCAGTTGTGCATGGTGAAAATTAGAATTAACTAGAATGCACAGAGAAAAAGGCCAGCCCTTCAAAGGAGTATTAAAAGCAGATCAGTATTATAGCAAGCTACAGTTTTCTTTTGAACTGTTATTTGTATGAGGCCTGTCTCAAAGTGCTTCACAGGATTAAACCGCAGTGAGAGAAAGAGAGCGAGAGATAAAGAGATGTTTACCAGGGAGATCTCAAAAAGGTGGGGAAGATACAGGAAAACACTGCCAGGGAGCAGGTGGAATCCTGTATTTGCCCCTTGCTTCAGTATGGTTCACCAAATAGTCTCATTGTTATTATGCTGAAGACTGTATGGTGCCTCACAAAAATTGATGTTCATGCTTCTGCCCCATCATGTAATTCCTATTCTGGGCCTTGTACACTAAAATCCTGTCAAATTCATAGTCTCACTGCACCAAAAGCTAACTTTGATCTATGCCGAGTACTACTGATGTGACGACATCTGATAAATTTGCACAGCATGCTGCTAGGTCTCCACTTTGTATGGATTGTGTGTGCGTAGAGGTTTTCTACGTATTTATACAAAAGAGTGGGGGGAATAATGATGAGACTGCAGAGCTCAGGAGACACAGAACCTTCACTAGAGGGTTTCTGGTATGAGCTGATACAGCTAATCTGGATCAGGTGTTTGGTGTATGCAAAATGAATTGCAGGATCTTGACAGTGACCTACATCACACAAGCAATCAGAAGTTAGCATTGGTGACAGGTTCTAGAAAAGACATCAAGATGGAGGGACCGACTTACCATTTCTCCCATAGCATTATGGTAGAGACACAGTAATGAAGCAAGATGGAGGCTTTCGTGACTGACCACCCTCTAGTATTCATTGCAGTAGTGCCTACTGCTCTGTGGCTAAAATGAGACCCCCTGTCCATGCACCAAATTCTCTTCACTTTTATTTAAGAACAGTTCTTGAAAGCACATGCAATTTAAGCCCTTTTTGCTCAATCACCACATTCTAAAAAGTCATGTTACTGGCATACTGTGTGCCGTTAATGAAAGGGCCTATGTTGGCTCCCATCGCGTTCCATGTACAAAGGCAATATCAAATGTTAGATATTTAAAGCCTAAGAAATCAAGGTCTGTAATGGAAATATGAAAATCAATTCTAACAGTGTTGTACCATGAAGTAAAGAGATGCGGCTTTCCATAAGTACAAATGTCTTCCCTTCATCTTCTCTTTCACTGTGAGGTGACTGAGCCCTAAACTTGCATTTCCATCCACGCTGCTCCTCCTTTCACTTGCAAGTTTTAGTATTCCCTCTTGCATTATGCATCTGAACAGACTACTATGCAGCAGTGGTGGTTAGAATCACAGACCTTTATTAGAGAAAGGAAAGAAAAGTAGAAGTAATATTTCTGTGGAAGATGAAGCCAACACATGTAACTTGTAGCTAATCCCCGCCCCCCCCCCCCCAATCTTTTAAGTAGTGAAGGGGGAGGGATGATTTCCCCCTCCCCCTTTCCATCTCTACAAAATTGTATTCAAGGGTACTTTCCATTTGATGCTGCAGTTGACAAGGATGCCTCCAGACATCTGGTCTCAAATACTTTTGGCTAGCGTCCCCTAACTGCTGGGAGGGGCTTGCGACTATTCCTCAGACAGCAAGATTCTAGATTCTCTTACTCTGAATCAGAGTAAGGAAGAAAAGGTGTCAACGAGATGTGGGCCTACTGTGCAACACGGTGCCAGGCTCTGCTTGGCAAATGCCTTGTTATTCCTACAGGCAAGATATCAGAAGGATATAGATTTGGAATAGCCCTTTATTTCTGAGTTTGGCACTGTACACAGTGCCAAATGTTGAAATAAGCTATTTTGAAATAGCATCAAAATAATATAAGCAGTTTGTCTCTTAAATTGCATATATTATTTCAATTTGTGGTGCAACGTAGATGCACCCTTAATCACTGATGTTTCTTCTATCTAAACTGGATTTTCCCCCTCTGATGAAGAGGGAAGAAGAAAAGTTTCACTGAGTTGTACACTTTCTGACAGTGAAGCATATCAGACATCTAATTACGTCCCTTCCTCACTGATGCTGTATTCTCTTCTTTCTTGCTGGTGGAGGCCCAAAGCCAAGAGTCTACTGTCATTTCCAAGGATCACAGAAGGAGTCTGTCATATTCAAGTATTCCAGGCGCCCAGCCCTTTGCTTGCACTACTAGACTACCTCTTTTGGGTGGAGATTTAGCCAGATTCAGCTGTGACTCTCTCAGCTCTGCTTGGATCTTTTCAGAGCAGTTCTTCACATGCAGCTTCATGGCACTGACACTCACTGGCGGTTGCTGTGTTCATACTGATTCTGTCTTGTGATTGTCAGACTCAGAGGTACTTAAGTGTGTGGCTTAGATACAAAGGTGATAAGGTGCCGTGGATGGCAGTGCTGCTTTTTCTGCCAACTGCTTTCATTGGGCTGAACACTAATTCATCCTCTTAATTTGGCACTAGGATTCATTCTCCTCCTCCGCAAAGTGTCCCCCTTCAGTCTACTCATATGATTCCTGCCTGATTTTTATGGCTAGTGAACTCCTTGGTTCCTGGGGTGTGTTGCCTGCTTGTTGTAGTTGTAAACTGTCTTCTTGACTTTCAGGTGGCCGGAGGAGGAGTTGGATTTAATTAACCAATGGGCATTTCGGGGAGAGCAGGTCATCCATGGCAAACCTTCTGGTGTGGATAACTCTGTCGCGACTTGGGGTACGTATTTTTCAATCTCAAACCGTTCCTCTTTGGCTCTGAAAACAAGTGCTGTCACTCTGAATATAAGAGGCCTGGACTTGGGCATTGGGAATGGCGGCTTCTCCAATCTCCTTCATGCACTGCTGTCTAGCTGATGTAGGAGATGGGAGGTCAGATGGGATTTTCTCTGGGTACAATTCCTAAGTAACACTTCATCAAAGAGTCTTTGCAGACTGCAGTGGAAGTAGGTGGCTGTCCAGCGTGCTTCTCAAATGGCTCTCAGCTATTTATTCAGGGAGTTTTAAATATAGGAAAAGGTATTCAAAATCCATCCTACAGAATTAGTGAGGATTTAACCCTAGTCTGTCCTGTTGTCAGACATTGAATTAGAGAGGGGAAAGCACAAATAAAGCCTTTTCCTTATACCATCTTAGTACCAAATCTTGTTCATAGTTTTCCTCTGTTGTTGCTATCTTGCTGAAGGTGATATTTAGCATAAAGATAACATTGCTACTGTCTGATGGGTTTATTATGGACTAATGCTTTGGTCTCCTAAGAGGGGAAGGGAATTGTCTGTTGGACTGACAGGAGGGTAGGGGAAGCAACTAGAAACTTCCAAATCTTGAGTCTAGCTTTGAGGCTCAGAAAGACAGCATGACTTTAAGGCCAGATTCCCTATCTGTAAAATGGGAGTTAATGCCTCCCCAGAGTGTTAGGAGGCTTAAGTCACTAATGACTGACTCACACCTCTGCACATTAATGCCTTGGAAGAGGAGCCCTGATAGAAATAACTGGACTTTCCAAATTATGAAGCAAATAAACTTAAAAAAACCTCACTCCAGGATAATGCTTTGGAAAATGTACATTAGTCTTAATTATTATATGAAGGGCTCGCCGAACTGCGGCGAGCTCTGCTCGCCAGCCGTGCTGTCCAGCGATCTGCGCATGCGCAGATCGCCCGAACCCGGCTCTTCCGGGTTGCAGTCTACGCTCCACCGGTGAGTAGATTGTATTTGTTGAGCCCTGATTATATGTAAGAGTGCTGTGATGCTTTGTGCAGGCATGTGTCTTAATCTTTTTAATAAGATTTCATGATAGCTATTCTTAACTAAACGTTAGGAAGTGGAGAATGTTGTTGTGAGGTGCTGTTGTGTTGCTAATAGCTGCTCTCCACAGATACTCACACTTCTCTGAATGTAGTATTTAATATGACTAAATCTACCCCAGCACTCTGCATTTGATTCTTAATTCATTAGTTTAGACCAATGTAGACTTGAGTCTAACCTAAGTCTATTTGAAAATCTTTTTATTTTCTGTGGCCTCTCAGTATGTGAAAGAGTGAAGGCACCAAGTTACTCCTATTTGGGCCAGATCTCCCATTGAAATGAATGGAGCTCTGCCTGCTCAAGCTATTTGGGGAGTTGGCCCATTGTTTTGCCCGTGCTGCTTGCACTTATTAAGTATACAGAGGAGTGTTTCATCTCTAGACATTAAAGGTATTTTCAGATGTGATGACTATTATGACCATGTACATATTTTACTTTAGGTGGAGTACTCAGATTTCAATCAGGAAAAATCACCTTGTTGAAGAGGTAATACTAAAATTATATAACAGTATACATACAGAGCACATCTATGCAGAGTTTGTCTTAAGGCATGAGAGAAACTAAATAATGCTGAACAATGTAGGTTGGGATCTTGCAGACATAACTCTCTATTGGACCTGGGCTTAGTTAGCTTTAGTATCTCAAACCAGTTTTGTTGCCTTGGATTTGGGAAGAATGAGTGAAATGTTTGGTCATTGTCTGAAGTTAGATTACAAGACAAAAGATCAATATTAATTTCATGGCCTTATAGGCAGCAGGATCAGGTCAGCTTCTGGCAGCAAATGACATTAAATTAAAAAAACCCAACTTCTCGCTTATTGAATTTTTAGGATCGTACAAAAATCAAGCTGCAAAGCCATGTAAAAAGAGAACAAACCCTAGTTCAGAATGCTCCCTTTACCTCCAACCTATGCACTGTAATTCAATGCCATTAAAATCTTTCATAGTGCATGAAATTGCTCTATTAGAAGCTAATGTCTCTAGCTAGCTGGTCTCATAAATGGTGTTTCAAAGGACAGATATGAAAGCTGAAAAACATGGATCTCAGTAAGTAGGTTTGTCATATTTGTAGAACCAACACGGTTGTATCAACGTTTGTGTAATTGAGAGCACTGAGCCCCTACATAGCCAAGCATTTGAGCATACACTTAACTTCAGTGGCACTCTTTGAGTGCTCAAATGTAACAGGACTTTTCAGGCTCAAGTATGTTAGATTATGATCTTAAATAACCAGAATGCTCTAGAGAAGTGATAATCTGACTGTTGGTCTGTCTGCTGTGATTGATTTGAGATCTCAGTGTACAGGCAGTCCCCGAGTTACGCGGATCCGACTTATGTCGGATCCGCAGTTACGAATGGGGCCCTCTCCCTGGTCTCCAGCAGACCAGGGAGAGGAAGCAAAGTGGCGGGACAC